GGAGGAGCTGGGATATATAGGAGCTTTACAACAAAGACCAGGTAGTTGGAACAATAAAAGATTGCTTGTTATCTAAAGAAAGCCAGATATCTCAAGTTCAAGAATTTAGTGCTTTTCCATGTATGGGAGGAAGCAAATATTTGGACTCACTGAATTCATTCTTTAGACAAGCACCTAGCTATCTAGGGCCAGTATCCTGTCCTTTCTTATTCTTAGTCTGCTCAGAGGGCACCATTGTGAGTGGCTGCAGAGGCTGGGCTGCAGGCCTGTCTTTGCTGGGGGGTGGATGCAGCCACTGATGACTTGGTTTCAGCATTCTTTGTTTACTGACATGGTTGCAGTATTTTCATTCACATTGTGGTATTTTCGTTCACAGACTGATTATGGATAATCTGGAAACTTGGAAAGCAACCGAGATGGAATTACTGCAGTTACCTTCTACTTTAATATGCCGTGTGCAAACATAAACACGGATGAAGCATACAAAAGGATTTGGTGGTGTAGGGAAGGTGTTCTGCACATTACAGGAGAAGGCAAGGCAGAATTCCTCTTCTTTGTGGGCAGGGATGTGACTTTACCTGTCTTTTCTGCAGCGGTTTCTGAGAGCAGTTTATGGTAATTAATCAACATTGACAAACAGTGGCACACATTGCATTTAAGAGCTGGCCTCTGCAAATTGTGTATTGGACAGGTGGCTTTCATAGACAAGTTGTCAGGTGGATTGGAGAGAGACGTAACCTAGGCCTGGGCTCAGATTCAGGCTTAAATCGCCATTTCCTCACCAAAGGGCCTTGGACTAGAGTGTAGCTTCCCTTATCCTGTTGGTGAATCTGTGAAATGGGCATGATAATATTCGTTTCTTCCTGGGTTTGTTGTAAGTTGTAAACAATATTATAACACACATGAAGCACTTAACACAATGGCACATAGCAGTGTTCACTGTGTCCGTTCACCCCACTTAGCGTGTGTCACAGCAGTAAAGGCAGCATGTGTCTGTTGAGTACGCAATGGAAGCCCCTTGAATACGTTGTGAATTTGGTGATTTCCTTTAATCCTTGTAACTGTATGTGCCATGGGCAGTTATTTTCATAGACAGATGAGGAATCTCAGGGTAAATAAGACTGTGTAATTTGCCCAAATTCAGACCATAATTTTGTGTGCAGGGGCCTCGGTTCAGCATGGGCCCCTGGGCTTTCTGCCCTCTCCGTTCAGCAGACGTGGGGTCGCCTGTCTCCCAGCCCAGAATATCCAGCAGGCAGCAAGTCACACCTGGACCTGTGCTGCTTGAGGAAAACCCCGGAGGGGAAGCAGGTACTAAAGAGATAAAC